GGGGCACGAGGAAATCGATGTCGACGTCTGGGGCTACGAGAGGAGGTTTCCACGCGAGGAAGGGCTCGGCACGGAGGGCTCCTCTTCTCGCTCGGAGACGGTCGCGGCAAGAAACGGAGCGGATAATCGAAGAACCTTGCGCGGTGACCTCGCTTCTATTTTTTTTTTTCTTTTTTTAAGAGAAAGGGGTCAGATAGACCTGTACATGCAGGTATACTTACACACTCGGCCTTCGGAGTAGCTCACAACAATCGCCGCCTCGTCGTCGTCGTCGTCGTCGTCGTCGTCGTCGTAAATATGTATACTCGTGTATCGCTGTCGATCGAGTGCACTCTGGGTGGAGATGCGGCGCGTGCTAACGGGGTGTGATAACGAGCAACGTTATCCGGATGACACCGGCGAGCCGCCTCTCCTCTGCGCGTATCCTATCCGGTACGACACTCCGCGCGACACTACTCCGTGTACTCCTACTCCGTGATAGGACCAGGAGAGGATTACTACCTCGTCTGCGTGTGTGTAGGAGGAGGGGGTTGCATCCGCGAAGAACGTAAGAAGAAGGGGAGGTAAACCAGCCGAGTCACCACCTCGCTCTCTCGCTCCGTTCGCGCGGGTGTCTCGAGCCTGACTGACACTCGGCTGACTCGGCTCCTAGCTTGGGACCATGGTACCGGTCGTCGGTCGACCGACCCCTTCGCTCTCACTCTTTCTTTCTCTCGCTTCCTCTTTCTCACCTCTTTCCATCCTGGTCTAGCTACCGCCGTGCCATCGCTGCGTCTTTTTCGCATCGCGGTGTTATCCACGTTTGCCTGCTCCTCGTCGCTCCACCGGCCGACACTCGTCGCATGTATCGGGTGATTTTCTTTTGTCGACGACCGCCCGTGCCCTTCGTCGCGAACACTTTCGCGGCAGGAAGTCGGGACTGTCGAGAGTCAAAGTGACACCCCATATGTGGTGGATCGCACGCGAGTCTCTCGCTTTTAGGCTTCAAATTCTCCAAAAGACTGATATCCCGATGCACCTCGTCTGATACTGAGGCGATGGAATTTGAAATCAGTACAGACGGATTTAATTGTCTTTAGAGGGTGGGGGGTCTATTTTCGAAATTTTACAATTTTTCCTTGAATAAGATTTATTATAATTGATTGTTTTCATTGTATCCTTTGTCTCAAAATACGTCACTGTTATAGCGCCACTATAACGGTTTTCATGTAAAGGTTAATTAACGAATAAAAATAAAAGTGCGGAAAGGCCTGGTATTCTAAAACTGTAGTTATTCTTGAGATCGATTGTACGCACACGCGATGAAAGTCATGTCTGACCGACAAACAAACGTTTTATATACTTTTTATTGATCTTGTAAAATATGTATATATATATATATTTCCGTAATAATTATTTTGCGAAATGCGCAATCGTACAATTAAATTTGAGAGCATTTTTGGGGGAATTGGATTGACGCAAACGTCTTTAATTACGAACTTTAGAGAGATTGAAAAATTTAATTACATAGAGAGAGAGAGAGAGAGAGAGAGAGAGAGAGAGAGATGCAGCTAGATGCTTATTACAAATTTTCGTACATATCAAAACGATCGATACACATTTAATAAATTATTTCCTGAAAATAATTAATGCGAGTAATGTTTATATAAATAAATTAGCTAAATATATAAATAAACATATTCTTCAGACGGTATCAGCAGAACTAATTAATTCGATATTTTTGTATACGATTCATGTACAGAAATTAACTTGACATCAGTTGCGATGTGTTTATAATAAAAGATACAGATTCAACTGGCAATATCGTAGTTCAGGCGAGTTCTAGAGGATATTTAAAAAAACACATTAATTAACTCGGAAATAGTCACTCAAGCGAAAAAAATGTAAATTATTGTAAAATACTTTGTATATTACATAACGTATGTTTTTTACTTTTCGAACAAACTATTATTGAACTTTTAAATATGCAATTCCATGGAAAATTACAAAAACACATTATTTAAAATTTTTATTTTTAAAAATATTACCACAATAAGCTACTTAACGTGTTTATTCCATTTAATATTTGTTTGGATTTTACTTATTCTTTTCGAAAAATTGTAATTAAATCTATGTTTTCAAATATTAATGAAATACAAATCATAATGTGAAACACTATATATATGTACATGTTCCCAACTACAAATAAAAGTCGGAAAATAGTTAATAATATACGATATGTTGTAGGGATGCACCAGATATCCGGAAAATATCCGGTAGCCGGAATTTTGTTACTATCCGATCAAATAGTCGGATATTATTAGTATCCGGGAATGTATCCGGTTGAAATTTGATATCATTAAATTGTTGATTTTTTTCTTATACAAATATATTCCAGAAATAAGTACGCATATTCATGATGCTATAATATCATACATTGTTGCAAAATTACAATCTTTTTCCCTGTAGGCCTTTTTTTGTTTCTTGTTTTTTTTTAGAAGGCACTTTCTCGGAATCCGGTGGAATATCCGGTAAAATGTCGGATATCTGATCCGAAGAAATATTACATTTGTCCGGATATCCGATAATTTTACGACACGGTACGATTCCTAATATGTTATTAATAATAGTGATTTTAATTAAGGAGTGTAGAAATACTCCAGATGATTGTTTAGGTAAAAAAAAATTAAGTGACTACTCCCGGATTAAGGCACGCCCTTTAGATCACTTTTGGACGTCGGTATCACCCTCGTGCGCCCGGTCGATATGCTAATTAGAAAGTTGGGCGCGAGAAGCGGTTGAAGCGAGAACTCAGGTGATGGTCCCATGGGGATATTGAAATGTTATTTTAGAAGCCGACTTTCTCGTCGACCTTCTCATGCGGGATGTCTTCAATCAGCACGCTGTCCGTCGGGACAAGTTTGACCCGATCGGACGGCTTGGGTCTCATCAGAATGAACGGCAGCTCGGCCGTCAACTCACCGCCCAGAGCGCCCAGATAAAGCTTGACCTTCACGGCGTAGGATACGATGATGCCGAAAGTGTCGCGCACGTCCGGCGAGGTAAGCAGAGTGCTGGACGCGAGGTCGCTCTCGTCCCGTTTCATTACGCCATCGAGGGCGATGCCGCGACGCTGCTTATTGCTCGCCAAGGAAGGCTTCAGGTAAAGCACCTTTTGTAGAGTCGAACCGGGATTGATCGGGCAACCGTCCTGCGTCTCGATCGCTTCTATCACCGTTCGGAATTGACCGTTCTGAAAGATCACTACGTCGATGCCCTGCTGCACCAGCGCCTTGATCTTCTTCACCACCTTGTTGCTGTTGTTACGCACGCACACGTTGAGAGCGATCGCCTCGCCGTGATTGTACAGCTGCTTGTCCAGAGTAACCTCGAGCTCGAGCTCGCCCGGGCTCAGCAGGAAGTCCTTGCGCACCACGGTGCACGGCTGGCGACCCTGCTTCGTAGGCGCGTACTGGATCTTGCGGATGCCCATCAAGACGGTGCTACGCTTGTGGGTCACGTCGGTCTCCGTCTCGCCGCAATATACCTTTATGTAGTAACTTACGCCACACGGCTCGCCGGTCTCGTCGGGTCCAGGTTGAAGAGTCACGCTAGACGGCGCGCTCTGCGGGAATGTGAACGTAAAGGGAATCGCATTCGAACCCAGTTTCTTCAACAACCTGTTCCAGAAAGACATATTCAGATTCTTACATTCTGTCTACAGTTGACAAGTTAATTTTGAAAGCTTGTTGAAAGCGTTAAAATGATAACTTCATTACTCATTGGTATTCGGAAATTTTTTAAAACGACGTAAAAGGAAAACAATAAAGAAATACAACAAATCAAAATTAAAAATCAATTTTGAAATATTATATGGTTTTAAACATCGTTAAATATTGATTAACTCTCACTTAATTTTAAGTATATTATAATAAACACATTCCAGCAATAAATTTCCTCGTGCAGTAACATTATAATGCTCCAGCAAATGCAGTAACACAATTGTAACAATGTACAGATTTATTACTGTACTGTATCTTATGTCTGTGAGACTAAATATTAATGGATATTTCTTACCTGTCTTGCAGCTTGGTAGGATTGGATTCGGGTTTCTTGATTTGTGGAAAGATCTGCTCTGACGCCAGCAAGAGATCCTTTTGGAAATTCAGACCCATCACTTCATCCTCTTCGCGTCCGTAGCGAAAGCTGCACAGCAGCTGGCACCATACTTTCCTGCCGCTATCCACATATTCCGGACTGATTAGGACTACACCGTCAATCGGTTCGGTACCCGACAGGTAGTCGATGAAGTCGCGTTTACCCAGGTAAACAGCGAGCTTACCGTTGGGTGAACATTTTTTGTAGACCTTGAAATTCGCCACCATGGTAAAAATGTCTTTGTCTCTTCGGTTCAGACAAAATGAATAGATCGCCGAGCAACGGTTGGAGACTTATATACCAGGAATATACGGTGACGTATGATCAACTTTTAGGACTTCCTAAGGCGTTTAACAGAGCGGATGAGACGTTTGAATCGCACTCACGCGACGCTTTTCTACGTTTCTGAGATATTTGCGTGGATTATTTTGTAACCTCTGGTGAAAATAAAGATTCGACCGTAAATCAAATGTTATAAGGAGAGAGTGACAAAAGCGTAAATGAAGCTTCTAGAAGGCGAAAATTGAAATGTAAAAAAAGAATAAACGTCTCTTTTATGTTTCGTTATCAATTTTCATTTTCGGAAAGCGCTTTTGTTCCACTTTGTTACATTCGACTTACGCTCCGATTTTTATTTTCGCTGGAGATGTTTCGCTAATTTCTTTGCTGACAAATAAATTTTGAAAACATTATCATATTGAGAGAGAGAGAGAGAGAGAGAGAGAGAGAGAGAGAGAGAACAGGATAATTTTATTAGCATGTGCATGTTCTTGCATAATATTGTTTAAGACTTCGATATCGTAACTTCGTGACTTTGATTTGCATGGTTGATCTATGAGTTTCTTGGGCTTCACTTCGACGTTGAAGGCTATCATATCTTAGGTAGTATATATATGTTCTCTTTCTCGAAACTTGTTTACCAAGAAATGAATTATCTGCTTGATTGGGATACACATTTTTTTCTTGATTTTATTCTAAAAAATAAAGAATGTTATTATTATATTTACAAAATTCAACTTACACATAAAACTCAAAATAAAATGCATCAAATGCAGTTTTCTTTCTGTTTTTATTAAAATAAATAATATAATACACAAAGATTAAAGAAAATCTAGAGAAACGAGAATTTTAATTTAATTTATTTATAAAAAAAAAAAGAAAATCTATTAATAAAACATATTAAAAACAATATATTTTATATATGATATTTATATAACATAAAATTTATAGATTTATTTTTATTAGCATTCATTACCAGCAACTCCACTTTTTTTACAATATGTACTTTTTTACAATGTCTGTGATTGATCGATTTTATTTTTTGTGAAATAAAATTGAAATTCTGATTTCTTAGATTTTTTATAAATATCTTCCTATCTTTGTACATATGTTCGCATATAATTTATGTAGCCACACGAATAACGCATCCACTTTAATTTTTTTAGTCTAATGTTAAAAATTAAAATTGAAGACCGTG